TACCTGCATATTCTTCAGTCCCTCCCCTACACACAGAGTAGCCTGCATTTGTTGAGCTGTCTCTTGGTTTTTATTTCATATCTAAGGTAAATAATTACTTAATGACAATACAGTTTTCAATGTAGGCTTGTGCTTGTCTTGGTTTTCAGACCTTTCAGGTTTAGGTGGGTGTTGCTAAGTGAAGGCTGTGTTGTGTAGTTGGTGAAGTAGCAAACTGAGGTGAGGACATTGGGTCCTAACGCAGTAGTTTTCAACCCAGCCAAACATTACAATCTCACGGGGACGCTTTGAAGATACCCTAATTCGATTGGCTGCTTGTAGTGCCTGGGCATTGATAAAATTTTAAATCCCCTTAGGTGACTTGGATGTGCAGCTGGGGCTGAGAACCTCAGCCCTTAAAACAGAATTGGACCTTAGCTAAAGCTGTGGTTATTAAACTTTAATAGCACCAGGATCACCTGGAGGCCTTGTTTAACCATAGACTGCTGTGCCCCACCTCTGAGTCTCTGATTTCTTAGGTCTTAGGTTGGATGTGAGAATTTGTATTTCTAAAAGTTCTGACATGATGCTGATGGTCCAAGGACCACGCTTTGAGAACCACTGGTCTAAAGGGATCCACATATTTTTATTGTAAAGATCAGATTTCTGCACATTAGGAAGACTTCTTTAATCAACATCTTTGGAGCAGCTATTTAGTTTTCATTTTTTGCCAGATCTGAGAATGTGGAGAAATAAGGTGCCTTTGAGGAGATCATGGTCTTACATCTTTAAAATTTTCCAGTTTAAGAGGAGAGCTTTTCTTTAACATTTTCATCTTCAAATTAGTATCTCTCTAACATAGGTTTTCTTATGTTCTTCCCCACCACCCTATTTTGGACCTGGCGACTATTTTGAGTACACAATTCTGTTGTCATTGTGATGTGATAAAGTAATGAGCCCACAACTGTGGCTTGATTCCAGTGTAATGTCAGTTTTAAAAATACTCCTACATGTAGAAAAATCTTTCCCGATATCCTACTTTTCTTTGGCTGCTGTAATTCATATTAAAATGAGAGTGAATTTATTTATCTTGAAAGATATCTTTTTGGTTCTCCTTGCTGTGCTTCCTAGTACTGTCTTTAAAACCAGTCATTGAAGTATGTCATTGTTCGCTGGTTTTTAAAATATGTCTATTCAATAGGCTCAACCTAGCAGGTATGTTTTACAAATGTTGTTTATAACCTGTATATTATATCTAATGTTTGTCCTGTCAAAAATTTTACATATTCAGTGATCTTCAACTTTTGTCCTGTGAACATAGGTTCATGGAATTGATTTGAAATCGCCATACTAAAGTTCAATACAAGTAAACTATTCTCAATTTATGGAAAAAAACATACAATGCATAGTTTTTCCAATTCTAATTCCCCGTCCTTTCCCCTTAAGCATGACTTGGTGTGAATGTTACCTTGGTTGAGTGTAAAATTCTCTATCACCTGCCAAGAACTCTTTTCCTTCCTGCTCCCTTACTTCCTAACTATGTTTGAAAATGTTACTTCATTTAAAAGCTCTTGATATAAAAATTTTATTTTAATGGTGGAATCTACTCTTACAATGCAAAGAGTGATGATAAAATCAGGCAATTAGATTTTTTATTGAATTTATTGGGGTGACATTGGTTAATAAAATTATATAGGTTTCAGGTGTACAATTCTATAACATATCATCTGTATATTGTATTGTGTTCACCACCCAAGTCAAGTCTCCTTCCATAATTAGATTTTAAGACTAATAGCTATAAACATTTACATGCTATTAGTATACGAGAAAAAGCATATATAACAATGAAAGTCAGTCTTCTGAAATCAATGTAAAGCTTGCTGAATCTTCTAAAGCCCAATGAACTGAAGCTTGTCAAGTAATATGCTCTCTGCATGCTGAGCGGCTATTTTGAGTTCACTTAAAAAGGGAGCCTACCTTTCAGTGGTTCCCCCTTTCCAGCTCATAGAACTTCCTGGGTATTGATTTTGCCACCAGGTAGACTCCACCTCAGTATGCCCTCAGAACCCCAGCACTTCTGATTGTAATTTTATGTTGTCTTCAGTGAAGCCAGGTAAGTGTTCTTTACTGAAAATAAAACCGAAACAAGAAGATAAGAATGAGAGGTAGAAGAAGAAATAGAAACTTTGAATGCCACCCAACATTGGGGAACTAGATGGAGTGAGTGCAGAGGTGAGGCCCAGGAGACTGCTAGTAATTTTTCCTCAATCCATTCCCTGTTGAACCGTGGTTTTCTGTGCTTCCGTAGACTGTCCCCAGGACCTCATACACATTCCAGTGGCCTCAGGGAAATTCCATAGTGATCATTAACTCTGTGCTGTCCCTGGAACTTTGGGTCTGTTTTCCAGAAGTAGCATTTGGTGGGGCTAGGATGGCAGAAGGAATGATGAGTTAGGAAGGCCTCAGTGTATAGAGCTTCAGTGAATGTTTTTGAAGACCCACAAGTTGCTTTCCCCTCTCTCCTGATTTCTCCCTTCTTGATTTATGAGCGAGGTTTCTCATCATTTAGACATGTTTAGAAGTAAACATGGTAGAATGTAAATGCATTTACATAAATAATACAAATAATAGAAACCATTTGTTGAGTAACCGTTGTGGGTTTTTGGTGCTAAGCCCTTATGCAGTTGTCTGCTAACCATCCAGGACTTCCTTTTTGAGAGATGCGGAAAGTGAGACTGGGAGGTCAGGGAAGTAGCTCAAGGTCCCACAGCTAGTGAGTTTGGTAGTCGGGCCTGTCCCCCAGGTGAGGGTGATCTGGCCCCACAGCCACGCTCTTAATCACAGCACTGGATGAACACTACACACTAGAGGTGTTAGGAGAAATTGGGAGATGTCTGAACTCCAGGCCTGTGCTGTATAATGTAGTGGTTAACATAAATTATCATCACTTTGAGGCTCTATATAATATGGATCAGTGGAAAGACCAACAGTAAAAGATTTGATTTCAAACACTTAGATATGGAAATACAAACTGGTGTTTAATCTGACGTAGGGGGAACTATCTGACCCTTTCTGAGTCTGGTTTCCCCTTCTAGTAAGATGAGGGTAATAATATACTTTGAGTCTCAGGTTCGCTCTGAGGATCCAATGAGGTGACAGCCATGGCCTGAAAACCATAAAGTGCTCTGTGCACATGAGGTGACATGACTTACAAGCTTCGAATCACTGTGTGGATTGTTTTCTCTTGTGTCCAAGACTCTGGGAGAGTTACAAAGTGGAAGTCTTGTTTCTTTCGCTCACAGAGATATATGGTCCTAGCGGTGGGCCCTGGATGTGCATTTTGGGATCAATAAGTAGGAGAATGCTTGGGAATTTAGTGCAGGAGAAACTCTGAAAGAGCATCGCCCAGGGAAGGCTTTATGACAGAGTGAATTAATTAGATTTTAAAGGATGTGGTATTCAGGTGGAGCAAGAATAGTTCACTTTGTGGAAACTTTCCTTTGCTTTTAAAAGGAAAACCAACAAGTACCTAGGGTCACCATATGCCTTTTAACAAATGTTACTTATGGACTGTCTTGCGATGTGGAACTCTGAGGGAATTTCTCGGCTCTTAAAGGACGGGAATGGAGGTGTTTTTCTGCTTTCCCGCCTCCTCCCACGGCATCTGTTCTGCTCCACCTTTCTCAGAAGATAGACCTGAAAGGAGGGACTCTTCTCCTGAAACCTTTCGGTCAGCACTGTTGTCAGTCTCAGGTTGACTGGCGGTCTATTTCACGCCCCTCCTTAATTGAACAACAAAGAACACTCACTAATTCAGGATTTTTAAAAGATCACAAATTCTTATGGATAAAAATAGCCCTGGTGGTTATAACTACTCAGCTGAAATTAAAAGAGTTATCAGTCTTGCTTTGGGAAACAAGGTGACCAACCACTGATTTCGAAAAAGAACCTCTCCCATTCCAGGGATTAGCTAATAAAATTATTCCTGACGGTGGTGGTCAAAGGAGCTTAGGCAGTTACATATTTAGAGACAGAGAACCCATTGTCCAAAGATCTCAGAAGAGTCTTTGCAAACACACAGAAGGGATTTAGAACAATTTGCATAAATCTCCCCTTGGATAGCAACATGGCTCCAGTATTGGGGTGGTTCCAGGAGCCCCTCCTTGGCTGTATCATGGAGTGACGCTGTGCTTGGTGAGAATTCAGTCTCATGACAGTTTTGCCAGCAGGACTGGGTGATGGGACACTGAATAAGCCCACTGTTTGGTTCCACATAAGGACTCTTTTGTGTTGGCCTGGGACAGCCATGTTCAAGTTTGTCTTGCTTTTTTCCCCAATGATGTTTTTGGACTTTGTGGGCTGGGGAATTAAGCACAACACCTATTCTGGGCTAATCTGTCAAATTTTGTTCTTGAAAGGTAACCATAGTCCCTTGTATTTTAGAATGTGGAGAATAATAGTCATACCTTTGGAGACCTTTGTGTTCTTAAATTAAAAGTCCGGGAGAGGAGGAGACCTTGCTTGGTGAGATAGCGAGGCATTCATGCCTATTCAGGGTGGGAAGTAATTCCCTTCTGCTTGCTAATATGATTTGCTTTGCTTTAAGAACTATCTTCTCTTGCATAGTTAACAAACAAATTCTACTTTAATATTTACTATTCCCCAACGAAAGGGTATGGGTCACTCCGGAGTATAATTTTAAAATGCCAGATGATTACAAATCTGTTTCAACTTTTTTGTTCTTTTTTTCTTTTGGAAAAAGAAGAAATATACACTAAACACTCCATATTAGGAGCTTTACCAAGTTACTTGCTCAGAGTGTTAGCGTTCTAGAAGCCACAAAGGGAGTCTAATTTAAAATCCAAATTTAAAGTGAGAAGTTTTTATACTGGGGGAATTTGCTGCTTTAAGTACAAAAATGAAATCCACTAATTTCTGACCTGGAGTTTATTTTCTTTCAGTTGCTACTTGATTTCTCAGCTTTGTTCTAATAATATAAACATTTTTATGTTTACTTATAGGTGGCTTTAACCAAGAGAGCAGATCCAGCTGAGCTTAGAACAATATTTTTGAAGGTCAGTATAAAGGAATCTATTTTGTTTCTTGTTTGATTTATGTTCTACAACTTTTAAAGATTATTTTCATGCAGCTGTTTCTTTCATTGTTATAGTTTCTAAAAATCCCCAAAAGTATCTTTACATAAGACTTTCAAAAGAGATCCTTTACACTTACATCTATTTAAAAAAATGTATCAGAAACTGGTTGGTGATTGTTTGTGATGGCAACATGGTTTACCTTTTCATTTCCTTTTTTAACCTCACATGGTGTCAGGCATTGAAAGGGAATTTCTGGGGATTTAGTCTCACACCCCATGTACCTTTCTAGGATTGACTGGTGCGGTTTGGTGGCAATGCTTTTTCTCCTAAGAGGTTCACAACTCTGTGTAAACATTTCTGTAACCCTTCATTCGTCCGGAGGGGGTGGTCCTTGAGCCTTTTTAGTAGAAGCCCGTCATCATCATTATCGTCATCATCATCATTTTATCACAACTCTTGTGCCTGGTGCGGAGACCTCAGTGTGAGTATTAATAGATACAAGATCACAGTAGGCGCCATACAAGCTTATTTCCTTAGTTTCTTTTAGTTTTTCCTACTTTGTGATGTTGAGTGGTGAATAACTGATACTCTAATAAAAGTCTAACTCATTGTCCAGACACTGAACCACTTTTAATGTTATTCAGCTGGAATCAAAGTATTCAAAAAAGAAAAGGCCACTTTTATAAAAATAATCTTAAACATATATTTGTGTACTTTTTCTAAACATGACAAAAGGCAACTGTGCTGTATGTGAGGAGGACCAAGGCTTCAACTGAGAAACTTGATGTTCTTCTGTGTCCCTAGAATGTATGACTTTGAATGTTAGTAATTTTGTTTATACATCACTTTTTCTTCATCAAAATGCACTATCATTTAAAAAAAATGATCAATTGGGAAATTTGAACACTGACAGGATTATTTGATACTATTTGTTATTAATTGATTTTTAGGCTGGGTAACGGTGTCCTGATTATGGGAACTATACTATTTTTCTGTTAGAAACACACACAAAAGTATTTAAAAATGAGATTGTGATGTCCAAAATTTGCTTCTAAATAATCCAGTTTTGACGGGGCAGTATGATGATAATTTTTTAAATAGGGAAATGCAGTATTGGGTTTACTAGACTCTTCTCTCTATTTTGTATATGGTTGAACATTTTCATAATAAGTTACAAAAATTGTAAAAATTCAGTGAAAAAAACTTTGTGAAAGTGTCTGGCACCTGATTTGCATTAGAAATTGATTTAGTAAATACTTAAAATTAAATAATTCAAACACAGAGAGACAAAGTCTACAAAGGAAAATGGTTAAAAATATGAGCAGTTTTAGGGGGAGGAGAAAAAGAATGCATTTGTAGGGAAGTTTGGATGATCTGTAAGAAATCAGAAATCTTTTATAAATTTGTATTTGGCTCAAAAAGGACAATGCAATATAGATTCTAAGGTGGAAAATGATTCTGGATACCAAGAGTCCAGAGAACAGAAGAAATGCTTTGTCTCTTGCCTATACTAGTGACTGTTGTAACACATTTTGGGCCCACCATGATTGGAATCAGGTATACATGAGGGAACTTCAGATATTTGTAGTATATGTATTTAAGGTCTTTATTTTAAAACTTTAATGATGTAATTCGGGAAGACCACTTGCAGAAGGGCCTAGAGAAATGCATAGAGTTCATTAACTTAAGCTGGCAAAGTCTTAGTCATTCTTTGATCTCAAGACCTGCCTATTATGTATTTCTGTTTTCTAAACCAGCGATAGTTGCAGTCATCCTTTTGACAGGAAAGGGGAACAGTAGTGTCTCATTAAATGGCACAGCTTTGACAGTTACTGGTCTTTTTTGCACAATCTAGTGGGAAGGCTCTAGGTAAAAGCTGTGTCCACCTTTGAGGACACATGGCAGCTGGCAAGGCTAGGTTGACAGCCTGGTTTGGAACAACATGTCTTTGCCAGATATCGTATCTCAGTAGCAGGCAAGTCTATACTGGAGACAAATCAGATTGGTAAGGTAAAGGAGTTCCATGCAGGGTTCTGGAGCACCACCCTCGGGGTGTCTGTGTAAGTGGGCCTGTGGGCTGGGATAGAATCTTTGGGACCAAATGGGGAAATGCTGTTTTCCCTCGGGGTGGCTAGGACTGCCTGGTTTTTGATTGAGAGTTCAGCATGACCTCGAGTCCAAGGGGATAACGTTGGGGGGACCGTCCCTGAAGAAAACAGCGATCAGCAGTCTCTGGAAGGGATTGTGGATTTGGCAAAGGTTCGGGTGATCTCATCAGGCCAGGATAGTGTGGTACCTATGCAAACCCTTGGCTCAGCACGCAGAGGATCTCTTGTTTACCATCCACTGCAGATGGTGTGGTGGTGGAGGAAGAATAGGAATGAGGCGCCCTGGGCACTGTGCCAGGCACGTCTCCCTGGTGCCTGGGTTTTGTAGTTAATTATGGGGCAGCCCTAAGCACTCAGTAAGCCTGACTACTTTGCAGATTTTCTATGACTTTTTCCTGACTTCTTCATAATAAATATCCCAACCTCCTCTCTGATAAACTAGTTAGAGGACTCTTCTGTGGGGGCTGGCGGCGGGGAGGTAGAGAGAAGCGTCATTGCATTCTTTGGACTAGATGTGCTGGTAGCAGGGGAATGGGCAGCTGTGCAGGTGAGAGAGTCAGTGGAACAACGACAGATCAGGAACGAGGGGTCCTGGAGGATTAAAGTGGGGCCAGTACTGGCTTATTTTATGCTTTAGAGTTAAAATCCATTTTACTTTCTTTTTTTCTTTTTTTGAAGGTGTTTACTGTATGCTAAGTACAGTGTGAGGTGTTGGGTATATAAAGACATATAAATCATGGCTCTTGTCCTTAACTATCTCACTGTGTGTGTCTAAGTGTAAAAAAAAAAGAGAGCGAGCCATAATATGGTTGATAAGCATTACATTGCAATAGTTAGCAGGAAGATGATGAGGGGCTAATTACATCATCTTAGAGTTGTTAAAGTTACAGAGAGGTGTAGTTTGAGCTGTGCTTGAAGATGAGGAGGTGTTTGTATATCAAATGGAGAAGGTAGAGGAGCATTGTGGGACAAAGAAAAAACATTCCAGGCTAAGGAACAGCATCTGCAAAGTACAGAGCTGTAAGAGTACCAGGTGTGTGTGGTGGCCTTAAGCATAAGGTCTTGGGCATAGAATGGTAAGTAGGGCCATACTTAGTATAAGCCATTCCTAACATGAGGCCATTGAACTCTACTATGCAGGCTGTTCTTGAGCCAAGTGGCGGCTCAGGTTTTGTCTGGATGTGGGAATTGAAGTCTAGGTGTAGTCTGTTGTGCTTCTAACCTAAATGCTGGCATGTGTTTTTTGTCTGCCTAACACTTTTGATGTTGCTTCATGTTCATTTAAACAGATGTGTATTGATTGCTTACAGTTTACATGAAACACCATGAAACTTGGGGGTGGGTGGGATGTGCAAAATAGGTATAAGCAGTGACCATGTCCTGCAGGTCAGATTTTATACAGGAGACCGGATTTACAGGCAGGAAGCAAGTAAAAGACTTGCCAGTCAGCATACTCAAGGGTCCCATGTGTGGTTAAAGCCCATGCCACAGGAAACGGAAGGGGGAGCGGTCAGAGAAGGCTCCTTGGAGGTGGAATTCGAGGAGCCTCGGGGAGGGCGGGAGCCAGGGAGGCCCAGAGGAGGGCAGCCTAGGCGGCCCGGGGAAGAGGGCCGCACCGGAGGGGACCTGGAGGTGGTTTTGGAGCAAGCAGCTTCTCTAGGTTGAAGGCTTCTTGCTCATTCTTCAGATGCTTATTTAAATTAAACTCTGTCCAGGACTCTGCCATTTTATTACGGGGTATGGGTGACAAAATTAGAAAGGTAATTGGGAGTTTGGCATTTCTGCCATTGAAGATGTTCTGAGTAATCCAGTGGTACAGGAAGATGGATTTGAGATTTGACTGGTACAGTAAGGCCATGAGTTAGGCAGCCTTTAGTATAAGGTGTGAGGCCCTAATAACTTTTTTTTAATCCTTTTTTTAAAAACCCTTACCCAAGGACATTTTTCATTGCTTCTTTCAGAGAAAGGAAGGGAGAGAAAGAAACAACAACATGAGAGAGAAGCATCGATTGGTTGCCTCCCCATACACCTGGGCGAGGAATCCTAGGGATTGGGGACCCAAGCGCACAACCTGTGCAGGTACCCTGGCTAGGAACTCGAACCCGCAACCTTTCAGTTATGGGGCGATGCTCCAACAAACTGAGCCAGGGTATGAGGCCATAATAGTTTGACTAAGGTCCTGGCAGCAGAGGGAATGGAGAAGGGGCAAGTTAAAGACACTTTTGAAGGACCATTAGATGAAAATGACTCATCTCGTATAATGGATGGGAGAGAGCAGAGGTCAGATAGGACCCCTGCACAGGTAGCCTGGGTGCAGGGAGGTTGCTCCTAATAAGAATGGGAACCCAAGGAGGAAAACATTAGCTCAGGAGAGAGCAGAGGAGGTGATGTGTACTGATGGGAAGTGTAGCGCTGGAAATAGCTGAATACTTACAGAGTAAGACTTCAAAGGTGGGCAGGCTGGGTCGAGGGACTGGACGACAGAAATAGACCACATTACAAATTGTAGTACTAATACCTAGTGAAGTGCACTTGGATTTTTATAATTATTATTTATCAACAAAAGCATAATATGTATTTTTGAACAGTTTTGTAGGCAAAAATTAGAAAATTAACTCCTTTTTTGAAAAACTTTTCTTATGGCAAAACAGGTCATATTCACTGATGAAAATTTAAAAGTAGATGCATATTAAAAAAAGAAATTTGTGATCCCAGTAGGAGGTATCATCATTTCTAGCTGTATTTACTCATCCATCTATCCATATTTATTATGAGGAATTGGCTCACTCTGTCCATTATGGAGGCTGAGAAATCCTCTGTAAGCTGGAGACCCAGGAAAGCTGGTAGTGTAATTTAGTTCAAGTCTGAAGGTCACAGAACCAGGGAAACTGATGACAGAAATCTCAACCTGAGGGCCAGAGAAGGTCTGTCCCAGCCCAAGCAATGGGGCTGGAAGAAAGGGAGCAAATTCTTCCTTCTTCCACCTTTCATTCTGTTACGCCCTCGGTGGATTGGATGATGCCCATCCAACCCTGAGGAAGACAGTCTACGGCTGAGCCCACAGATTCAAATGCACGTGTCACCCAGAAACACTGTCACAGACACACCCAGAAATAATGTTTAATCAGGGTACCACTTGGCTAGTCAGATTGATACAAAATTAAACATCACATTTAGTGTTATACTGGGTTGTTCAAGGAATCCTGAAAGCCTTCCAGTTTCAAAAATTGTTAAGGCAAGAGGCTCAGGTTACCTGTAAAATCTATCCCCAAAGAAGGATTAAACAACATTTTAAACATGTTTAAAATGTTAAAAAAAAAAAAAAAGATTAAGTGGAAAAAAACTAAAGTTAGAGAGTTCTAACCTCCTGCCACATAAAAAAAAAAGTACCAATGTATTGAAATTTAAAGGTAAAAGATAAACATACCTAAAAAAAGCTAAGAGAATATGTAGGTGAATCTTTAAGTCTTGAGATGAAGAGGGACTAATTTCTAAACTTAAAGTAATGGAAGAAATTGCAAAGGAGGAAAAAAACTACAGATTCAATTAGATAAAAATATCAAACTGGAAAAATACTTACAGCAAATATGATAGACAAAGCGGGAAAAGGGCATGTTTGCACACAGTTGGGGGCAGATAAATCGGTACAATATTTTGTGGAGAGCAGTGTGATAATAAGTATCAGGAGCCTTAAAGTTCCCCTCCTTTGACTCAACAATTTCTCTTGGGAGTCTAGCCTTCGAAAATTGCCAGAAATTTGGACAAATGCTATATACAAGGCTGGTTGCCTTCGCTTTATTTAAAAATACCAAAAACTGGAAACAATCTCTATGTCTACTGATGGGAAAAGAGTTAAGTTATAATTTTAAATAAATTAATTTATTCACCACTATACACAAACATAGGTATAATTCTAAATCATAGTATTGTGTAATTAGCAGTGACATTTCCTTTATATTTCGGTCTCAATATTGCCTCAGTTTGGAAAATCAAAATAGGATGCCTCTACATTGTCAAGAGGCCAAATTTAATGCTAACTGAAGAATAGTAGAATTATTGGGCCATCTTTGAACTTTTTTTTTTTGCACTATGTTAAAAAAAATGTTAAACAAAACCCAGTAATATGGAACGTTTATAATTTGCTTAATGTGTGTAGGGTGTTGTGCTGAATCTGTTACATGATTATTCATTTATTTCTAGCATCAACCTTATGAAGCAGGTAATGTCATTCTCCCATTTGTAGGTGAGGAGCCAGAGGCCTAGAAAACTACTAGGTTGGCCAAGAAATCCATTTAGTTTTTTCTGTAAAATAAAAGACACATTTTTCATTTTCACTGATAACTTTATTGATTTGGATATTTTGAGTATGTTGGCTATCTCCTGCATGGTACAATGTTGATCTCAATTAATTTCTCAGTCTTATTGCTGTCAATTTCAACTTGTCTACTCAACTATAGACATCATCCACTGAAAAATCACCAGCACAAAACTTTGCAAACCATTTTTGACACATTTGATCAGTTACAGCACCTTCTCCATGAATAGTACAAATCTTTTTTTGTTTCAATTGCATTTTTACCTTTCTTGAAATAATAAAGCATAATATGCCAAAGATGTTACGTATTTTATTCCATCTTCAATATTAAAATGGCTACACAAAAATTTACCAATTTAGGTGTTTTTTAAAAGTGCATACTGATATGACAGCTGTCACAATACAATCGAACAAAGTTGTTCCGAGTGATGTTAAAGACAGCTAAGCACTGAGAGCCAGCTTACGGGAAAACACGAACGAACTTTTGGGCCAACCCAACAGTTACTTACCTGAGGTCACTTTGTTGGTTACACAAAGCAGAGGCAGAGCCCGGCGCAGCCCAGGCCCAGAGAGACTCCCAAGCCTGTTACTGAGTATCTAAGCAGGAGCTTATCCTGCATTGGAATTAAAAGGTAGAAATAACAAGTGACTTTTAAAAATAATTTTAATCAGGCTTAACTGTGGGGTTACAGAGGGAGCAGAGATCCTATCACTGCACCTCACTTCACTGAGCTCTCCTGCCTCTGTGACCACCAGTATGGTCCCTGTCACCCGTCTATCCCTGTTCTTCTTGTCACCCATCTATCCCTGTTCTTTGTGTAGCTCACTACTATCACCCCCTCCCCCATGGCCCCTCAAATCAGTATTCTGTCACCAGGATCAAGAGGCCATTTTCTGCCCCATAAGGATAACGTATGATCCCCAAGGTGTTTCTCAGCATTTCCCACAGCACCTAGGCTCCGCAGAGCAGCGATTAGCAGGTTCCACTCGTACGAGCCGGGATGTATCCCACTGAAACCAGACGTGGGGGATGCTGTGAAAAAGCACCGCAGGCCACCTAGTTCCTATTGGCCATTTCTGCTCCAGAATGAAGAGGACGCTGCTGTAGCAGCATTTCATACCCTCTTCCATAAAACCCCACAAGAAGCCATGCAGTTAATAGTCTCTTTTCCAGCTCAACCTGTTCATCCTTTCTTACATCTTTGATGTCCTTGAAGCAGAAATGGGCAAAAGAATTTGTTTGTATTTGTCCATGACTTCATAATTAATCCCACTTTTAATGAAAGCTCTATGTATGTCCTGACTAAAGAACAAGACAGAGGCTGTCTTTCTAAATTTCTGTAAACCAGTTTCTCATCCTCAGCACCCTTGATGCCGTGGGCTGAGCACTCTCTCTCGTAGGGGTCATCCTGGGCATCGTACCACGTTTAGCGGAACCCTTGTGCTCTACCAACTAGATGCCAGTAGCATCCCTTTCCCCCAAATTATGATGATCAAAATTTTTATCAGACACTGCCAGACGTCCCCTGTAGGGAAAAATAAAGACAAACGGAGGAAGCTCAGAGCTAGAGAACTGTACTCCAGAAAGGCAGGTAACAGAGAGAGAAGGCTAGTTCTTGTTGATTGTATTCGGCTATTAGGGGACATTGATGTTTGTAAGCTGGACAGTCGGACTAAGCTGCCCCCAGATTAGAACCGCTGGTATAAACATAGCATTTGGCAAACTTATGTTTTTTGTTTTTTCTTTGCAGTGATGGGAAATAAATGTCTTTGTGAAAAGAATATTATCATACCTGATTTTATCCTTTGTGTATTTTCACCATTTTCACATATTAATCTCATGATTGTACATTTTTGAGAATAAAATATCTCTTTTCTTTCCAAACAGTATGCAAGCATCGAAAAAAATGGTGAATTTTTCATGTCTCCCAATGATTTTGTCACTCGGTACTTGAATATATTTGGAGAAAGCCAGCCTAATCCAAAGAGTGTGGAACTTTTAAGTGGCGTGGTGGATCAGACCAAAGATGGGTATGTTTGTTTTTAATTATCTCATTTAATATTTTTGTTTGAAACAGCTTTCTGCTACTTTAATGATTAGGAAGTCACTGAATACACTTTCCATCTCTTAGAGCATTTTCTGTACCTGTTGCAATTAATGCATTATTTTAGAAGTAACTTTACTATTTCCTTCCATGTTTGTTTAACAATTGGGGATTTACTGCATATTTCTTCATATGGTTTAAAGAACTATACGAGCTGGGATGTATCCCACTGAAACCAGACGTGGGTTTTATAGTAATACCAGACGTGGGTTTTATAGTAATAGTTCTTATTAAAGAACTGTTTACTTATTTATAGAACTGTTGTAGTTGATGAGTGGTATGAGGATAACACCAGAGTGTTTGTATTTTATGTTGGTATTTTTTTCTGCCAGTCTTCTCTATTTACGTTTTAAAAATGAGTCCTTCCTACGCTGTATAAGATAGGAGTTGGCTTTTAATCAGGCTTACCTGTGGGGTTAGCCACAAAGTACAGAATTTTGGGCTCCAAACCCTTGCCAGTATGAACACCAATGTCGTCTGATAGCCAAGGATAATCTGCAGGAACCAGCCTTTTCCATACGAACTGTGGTAGACTCGGCCTCCTGCCCTCGCTGCTTGCCAGCACCCACCCTCTTGGACAGACTGCAGTTACCTGCCATTCTGGGATGGCTTTCTCTAGCTCTGCACGTTCTCCATTGGTCACGTGTCTGATTTTCCCAGTTGCATTAGTTTGAGATACAGCCAAAGTGAAATCTCTTGATGTGCCACGAATGCTCTCGGTTCTCATCAGAACTTCCCTTAAGTATCTAGCTGCTGTCCCCTCTCTCATGGAAATAGCCTCCTCCAAAGGGAAGGTCTTGCAGCGTGGGAGGGAGTGGGAGGACTTGGCAATGAGACGTCCTGTCGTACCCTGGAGGATTGCTGGGTCAGGCCCTTCTTTCTCTGTTCCAGGAGCAGGACATATTAGGGTTACTTCTCTTTCCTATCTCCACCCCAAAATGGTGTCTTTTCTCAGTAGGAAAATGTCCTGTATGCGAGGCCTTTGTTCTCTCATAGGGCCTCTCTGGGTGATGCAGGGAGAGGCTGAGATGTATTTCATATTAGTCCAGTGAAGCAAAAGCTGGATAGGACATAGATTTATTATTCTAGCAAACATTTTTTTTTTTTTTTGAGAAAGTTTGGTTGCTTGCACAAGCTTGTGATTGAGAGAAAGGGTGACCAACATAGGCAACATAAATTATCTGACTCTGTGATTAAGGTCAATGTTTTCTTTACTTGATAGCTTAATTTTTTTTAAACTACAGAATAATTGGAAGAAAATACAGTGAGCACTCTTTGTCTGGATTGACTGTTAACACTTTTTCCATCTTTGTTCTCTCCTTATGTTCACACTTTCTACAAACAAACATGCACATGCACACGTACCTTTTTTGGCTGAACTATTTAACTATGAATTGCAGACATCATGAGACTTCAGTATTCTCTTATGTAACCACCATACTGTTATCATGCTTAGGAGAATTAACAGTCACGTCAAATAATATCTGATACCCCCATATTCAAATATGCCAGATCTCTCTCCCCGACCCCTACCTCAAATGCCTCGTTGCCCTTTTTTCCCCCAATTTTTAAAACATTAAATCCGGGATCCAGTCCAGGTTTTTATATTCCATCTCGCTGTTGTATCTCTTTTAATCTAGAGCAGACCCTAGCCTCTTAATGTTTTTCTCATGTCATTGACTTTTAAAATGCAGGCCCAGTGACGGTGTCGGGGACCCCGCGTTCTGGCCTTGTCGGACTGTTCTTCGCGCCTGCCTGAAAGCGTGTGCAGCCCGGGGCGCCACACTGCCTGCTGTGTCCCCCCGGGAGGCGCGCTGTCACGGCAGCGGTGATGCTAAGTTGGATCCATCCACTAGATATTTCCATTGTATGGGGACGATTTTCGTTTTGTAATGAGTAGATAGAACACTTTGCGAACGTGTGGATGTCCTGTTTTGTGGCAACCTTTCACCCAATAGTTTTAGCATCCATGGCGACCCTGAATCAGTTATAACTGGGGTTTGAAAAAATGGTGATTTTTTTAAAAGCCCTACCTTTACTGTTTGCTGTCCTTCGGTGAAAAAAGCTTTCTCACCTACATTACCGTTTCTTTCTCTCTTCACCTTTTATATCAGTACAAATTCATGGATTTTTTTGTTTTAAATTCAGTGCATTATATATAGTCTATTGTTGTTGTTGTCTGAGATGCTAGAATTGTCCCAGTGAGGTCAGCGGGTATCCCTTCAAGCGCGCTGCTGTACCTGCAGCCTTTGAATGCTCCTTGCTTTTGACTAGTAAGATGTTCTAGGCTCACCTTGGATTTTTCCAGCCTCTGACCTGGAAATCTCTCTTTTCTCTAAGAAGCGCTGATTCTTTTAAATTGGGAGTGGTGCTCAGGAGCGAACAATGGAGCACTGGTTTATTGTTACTAAGGTGTTACAGCCGCTCTGACTTTTCAGTGGAAAGAGCTGGGAACTGTACTTTAAAAAAAATCAAAAGTTCATAACGATGTTTCCTATTTAAGTTTAATATTCTAGGATTTTTTTTCTTTGTCTTTTATTTTCTGTTTGAGCATTTTCGTTTCTAATTACATTAATACACTTATGGTCATGAATTTATGTAATTGTAATACCTTTTATTGTACTTTGCCTTCTTTTCCATCCTCACCCCCATTAACACATAGACTTTTCCTATTTCTTTTTTCGCTATAAAAATACAGCCTTAAATTCATTAAATGCAACAACATAACATACATTTTACCTATTGAACATAACATATATTTTTAAGGAGCTTATAACAAATCAGAAATGTTGTTTTTGTTTTCCTGGTTGTGCAGATAACTGTGGCTCTCAGTGATCAAGCAGTTTTCTTCTGAAAGGTGTCCAGGCTTGTCTGGCTCCAAAGACCTTGGCCTTTCCAATGTTCTGAGCTGCTGCTTCTCCCATAATCTCACAATCCTCTTTAACCTGACATTTTTTTTTTTCAGGTTTGTATACTATTAAAACCCAATGTTTTACTGTGACAGAAAAATCTTAGATGGCCTCAGTTTGTTGCCCTTTGGCTAACTTTTTTTTTCCAGTTGCAAAGACAGTATTAACAGTGACCATTCAGTTTCAAAAGGGAAACCATCCATAATCTCCTTATCTTGACACAGTATTTTGAACTTTTTATACCTTCCATGATTTGTTAATCTGCACCAATACTTTTTATAATATGAATTCATTTTTATTGTAGTTCTCTCTTGTAATTTTTTAGACTGTATGAGTCAAGTTTTATACTTCTGTATGTTCTTCACGTTAACGGTGTTAAATAGCTTCATCCTTTTCTGTCAAATTAATGTACCCTATTTTATGAAATTATGCCCTTATAGAGTTTCTAGTTTTCTAGTTCAGTTTCTAGTTTTCTAAAATAGGTAATATTGGAGGGACTATCTTTCCCCTTCATTTAATTACTTTCTTAGGAAGAAATTAGAGAAATATTCCTGGGTCTATGGGTAGAACTATTCTACAGCTCACCGTATATATTGTGCTAATTCTTTCCAAAAGGACTGAACGAAGTAATTAATTTATACAAGGTATTTCAGCTTTCTGAGCTGGTACGGTAGGGTCAGTGTTTGAGCCTAGGCCTAAGCAGGGCACATTCAGATGTTCATGTGCCATTTTCCATAATCCTAACCCTGACCCACAGCTCCTCAGCATTTATGTAACAAATAGGCACACTCATCCATCTGTTCTCAGTGCAAAACTGTGAATGCCCTATTTCCCCTTCCTTTCCCTTTCTTTGGAAGCATAGCAGTGTGTCAAGTTCACAAGTCACAAATCATTACCACAAATCAAATACTGTTCCTTGTGTCAGTGTGACCACAGAGACTGGAGTGATGCAGCAACAAGCCAAGGAACACCTGGGGCTGCCAGAAGCTGGAAGAGGCAAGAAAGGATTCTCCCCTAAAGCATCTCCCTGGGAGGGAATGTGGCCCTGCCGCAGGCCCCTTGATCCCCAGAACTGTGACAGAATGATTTTCTATTTTGTTAAGCCATCCAGTTTGTCGTGATTTGTTATAGCAGCCCTATGAAATAAATACTCTCTTGTAGCTGTTATCTCTAGGGAATTAGAAAGCTTGTATTTGCAGAGAATTTACTGGGGCGTCCTGGCAGGGTACCTCAGTTGGTTAGAGTATTGTCCCGAATACACCAAGGTTGTGGGTTTGATCCTCAGACAGGGCACATACAAGAATTAACCAGTGAACGCATAAATAAGTGGAACAGTAAATTGATGTCTGTCTCTCTGTCTCTCTCCTGTCCTTTCTCTCCCTTAAGTCAATATATAAAATTTAAAAAATAAAAGAATTTATGAGAGACAGAGACCTACCAGCCTGATTCCCTAAAATAGCTTTTTCCTGGTGGCGTGGTAGGTTTTGGTGAGCTCTAGGCATTGTCTAGGCCCAGATGCACACTGCCGCCCGCCATCTCTGTGAAGGTGCGGCCCCTCCTGAAGGCTTCACCGATGTGTAGGGTTGGGCTGAACTGTAGGCAGGAAACTTAAACACCTGTACACTGCATGAACTTGGAGTAAAGGGATCCTGTTTTTCTGGAGCACCCTTGCTTCCGATTTAATGTTCCCTGGGGTTGTGACTCGGTCAGCCTTCCGTGCTCTGAGCGTCTTCCCGAGTGCTGTGGGGCCTGCCATGCTGCGGCCGCCTGAGAGCTCACCTCTGTGCCTGCACTGCCCTGTCTGCTGAGCGTAACTGGCGAGTGGAAAACACAGGGTGCTCTCTTGGAGCTTCTAATTTACTGGAGCAAATAACTGTTAATCTGGAAACTACAAAGAAATGGGAATTGATGCTGCGAGAAGTGTTACGCAGGAGAGACATGGTGCATGAGACCGTTCAGGGGCTTTATGCTGACGGGGAGGTCAGGAAAGGCTTCCCGAGGATAAGTGACATCTGAG